TAATTTCGCAGGGCATGGCGAATCTTACCAGCCCTGCGCAGGGCTTGCCAGGGCTGAGCAGTGGCTGGCAGGCTTCAGTCGGGTTCTGCAGGGCTTGCCAGGGCTTAACGCTTGCCAAGGCTGAGCAGGCTTCAGCAAGGCTTTCCAAGCCTAGCTCTGGTTTAGCAAGGCTTACCAATATTGGAAAAAGCTTTGCAGAGCTTAGCAGGGCATAGCAGAGCGTACCTGGGCCCAGCAGAGCGTACCATGACTTGGCAGGGCTGTACACAGCTTGCTAGGGAAGCAGTGGCTAGCAGGGCTCAGTCGGTTTTAGCAGGGTCTACCGGGGCGTAGTATGGCCCACCAAGGTTTAGCAAGGTTTGCCAAGTCTTAGCAGGGTCCGGCAAAGCTCGTCGAAGCTCAGCAGGGCTAAAGGCTTCGCAAGGGTTACTGGGCAGCGCTTGCCAACGCTGCGCAAGGCGTGGCACAGCTTAGCGCAGCTTGCCCAGGCTTCAGCAGGGTTTAGTAAGGCTGACCAAGGCTTACCAGGACTTAGCAGAGTTTACCAGGGTTTAGCAGAGCGTGGCAACGCTGATCCACGCTCAGGGGCCTACCAGGGTTTACCAAGGCTTAGCAGAGCTTAGCAGGGCTGGGCAATGTTTTGCGAGGGCCCAGCAGGGCGCACAAGGACTTAGCAGGGCTCCGCAGTGCTTGCCAGGGCTCAGCAGTGGCTAACATTGCTCAGCGGAGCGTACCAGGACTCAGCAGGGCTTTGCAGGGCTCGCCAGGGCTTGGCAGGACTTAGCAGGCTGAGTCGGGCTTGGCAATGTTCGCGGAAGCTTGAAACAAAAAGGCCCACGAAGCCTCATCAAGGCTTACCAGGTCTTATCAGGGCTTAGCAGGGCCCAGCGAATCTTTGCAGGGCGCAAGGTTTCGCATGGGGCAAGGCTGAGGAAGGCCTTGCAAGGCTTGCCAAGCTTAGCTGGGCTTCGCATGGCTTACCCAACGCAGCAGGGATCAGCAGGGCCCAGCGGTGGATGGCACAGCGTATTTTGGTTCAGCAGGGCGCACCGGGACTTAGCAGGGCTTTCGAGACCTTACCAGGGCCTGGCAGTAGCAGGCAGGCCGCAGTAGGTTTAGAAGGGCTCCTAAAGGCTCAGCAGAATTTACCAAGTCGCAGCATGGCTCGGTAGGGCTCAGCACATCCCAGCAGGCCGTCAGGCTTCACAGGCTGGCAAAGATTAGCAGGGCTGAGCAGTGCGTGCCGAGGCCGAGCAAGGCTTAGCAAGGCCTATCCGGACTTGCCAGACCTTGCCCAGGCCGAGCAGGGCTTGACAGGACTTAGGCAGGGCAACGCTTGCCAGGCCTTGGCAGGTCTGGGCAAGGCTTGCCCAGGTTCACAAGTCTGAGCAGGTCTTGACAGGTCTTGACAGGGCTGAGCAGAGCTCGCCCAGGCTGAGCAGAGCATGGCACGGCTTCTCCAGGCATAGGGGCCTGCCAGGGTTTGCCGCGGCTTCGCAGAGCTTAACAGGGCAGAGCCCCCGCAGGCTGTGCGAAAATGCACGCCTCCACCGCCGAGATAGTCTGGCGGAATCCAAGGGAAAGCGCAATGCTCCCCCCCCCCCCCCCCTCTCCACGGTCATCGAATTTGCAGGCCCGCGCCCCGAGGAGGCATTATTCAGTCGATTGGCAGTTGTCCGAGATATTTGTAGATCGCGAAGGCATCGTCCACAACGCATTAATCTGCGCGACGATGCCGACTAAGAGAATGAGGGGAGCAAGTGGGGGGGGGGGGGGGGGGGGGGGGCGGGGGGATGGAGGGGGGGGGGGGGGGGGGGGGGGGGGGGGGGGGGAGAGGAGGAGGAGGAGTCGTGAGGAGGGGGGGGGGAGGGGGGAGGAGGAGAGGAGGAGGAGTAGGAGAAGGGGGAGGAGGATGAGGAAGGAGGGGGAGGATAGGGGGAGGAGGAGGAGGAGGGGATGATGATGATGATGTATGATGATGAGGGGGAGGAGCGAGGAGAGCGAGGCGTGAGGGGAGGAGGAGGAGGAGGAGGAGGAGGAGGAGGGGCAAGGAGGAGGAGGGGGATGAGGAGGAGGATGGGGGGGGCGGGGGGGGGGGGGGGGGGGGGGGGGGGGAGGGGGGGGAGGGGGAGGGGAAGAGGGGGGGGGGGGGGGGGCGGAGGGGGAGGAAGAAGAGGAGGGGAGGAGGAGGAGGGGAGGAGGAGGAGGAGGAGGGGGCGAGGAAGAGGATGAGCTTGCCATGGTGCGCGGTTGCCTGCGCGTCTCGCGCAACGGACCGCGCGCCCCGCAATCCGCTGGCCCCGGCGAAGCACGGGGCCCACAGGCCCGCGACTTCCTGGGAAAGGAAGCGGGCGCGAAGAGATTCGTGTAAATGCTGTGCATCAGAGGGTCAGACGCCAGAAATTACCGCACCGTCGCGGTCAGCGCGCAGGTTTCTCGAGGGTGTCTCGAGCCCCGCGAATTTTGCGCAGAAGGAGTGTTGGCCTGTTGCGCGCTCTCTCGAGGATGGCGCGCCGCGCGCCCCGCCTGCGCGCGCGCGTGGGTTCTTGGCGCCCCGGGGCGGGGCGGGCGCGACGTCGCGTGGCTTCCTTGCGCGCCTGCTCGGGCCAGCCGCGAAAACGCGCGGGTTCCTGGCGCTCCAGAGCGGGGCGAGCGGGGCAACGCGTGGGCGCGTGAAGCCGCGGGGCGAAGCAAGCGCGAACGCGCGTGCGTTCATGGCGCCGCGGGGCGGGGCGAGCGCGTCGCTGCGCGGGCCCCGCAGCCCCGGGGCGGGGCGATCGCGACGGCGCGCGAGTTCCTGGAAGCCCCATGGACGGGGTGAGCGCGACGGCCCGTAGGCCCCTTGCGCCTCAGAGCGGGGCGCGCGCGACGAGTCGCGGATCCCCTGCTCGCCAGACAGGGGCAACAAGCGCGAGCGCGCGTGGGTTCCCATTGCGCCAGAGCGGAGCATGCGCGACAACGCGCGGGCTCCTAATTCGCCGGAGCCTGACGAGCTCGAACGCGCGCGGATTCCCAGCGCCCCGCTGAGGGGCAATTGGGTAAACGCGCTGGTTTCTAGCGCCCCAGGGCGGGGCGAACGCGACGAAGCGCGGGCTTCTGACGCCCTGGGGCGGGTCGAGCGCGACGACTCATCCGTCCCGGACGCTTTGGGGCGGGGAAGCGCGGGCGCGCGCGGGGGGTTCCTGGCGCCCCGGTGCGGGGCGAGCGCGACGGCGCGCGGGCCCTTGAAGCCCCGGGGCAGGCAAGCGCGAACGCGCGCCGGCTCCCATGCGCCTGCGCGGCATCAATTAGACAGTGCGACAACGCGCGGGGTCCTAAGGCGCCAGGGCAGGGCAGGTGCGAAGCCGCGCGGTCTCCGCGCGCCCCAGAACGGGACAGGCGCGAACGCGCGTGGGCACCTGTCGCCCCAGAGCGGGGCAAACGCGGCAACGCGCTTGCCCCCGGCGCATCGGAGCGGAGCGGGCGCGGCAGCACGTGGGTTCCTAACGCCCCAGAGCGGGGCAAGAGCGACGGCGGGTGGGCCCCTGGCGCCCCGGGCCGCGCGAGCGCGAACGCGCGCGGGCCCGTGGCGCCCCTGGGCGGGGCGTTTGTGAAACCGCGTGGGTTCCTGGCGCCCCGGCGCAGGGCAAGCGTGAAAACGCGGGGCTTCCCCCGGCGCCCGAGCAGCGCGGGCGCGACGCCACGCGGGGCCCGAAAGTCCCCGATCGGGACGAGCGCGGCAATTCGCGGGCCCCTGGCGCCCCAGAGTGGGGCGAACGCGAAACCTCGCGGGTTCCTGGCGTCCTCGGGCGGGGCAAGCGCGAAAACGCGTGGGTTCCTAACGTGGGGTGAGCGCGAACGCGCGCGGGGCTATCGCGACGGCGCGCGGGTTCCCGGCGCCCCGGAGCAGGGCATGCGCGAGGGCGCGTGGGTTCCTGGCGCCCGAGAGCGGGAAGAGCGCGAAACCACACGCGGGGCGAGCTAGAGCGGGGCGAGCGTGACAACGCGCGTGGAGTCCAATCGCCCCAGAGCGGAACCCGCGCGAACGCGCGCGGGCCCTGGCGCCTTCGGGCGGGGCAATCGCCAGAGTTTCTCGCTCGCCTTCATGGGCATTGGCGCGGTCGCGGTTGGGATCCTGGCGCGCCGTGGCTGGGCGAGCCCGGCATCGCGTGGGCCCCTAGCGCCCGGGAGTGGGATAAGCGCGAGCGCGCGCGGGTTCCGATGGCGCCAGGGCAGGGCCAGGGCGGGCGCCGGGTGGGTTCCTGACGCCCCCTGGGCGGGGCAAGCATGGGAACGCGCGGGGCCCTTGGCGCCTCAGAGCGGGGCGCGCGCGACAGCGCGCGGGCCCCTCGAGCGCCGAGGCGGGCAAAGCGGCGCAGCGCGCGGCTTCGTTGGGCGCCCGGGCAGGGCAGGCGCGGCAGCGCCCCCGCGCGGGGCGAGCGCGAGAGCGCGTGGGTTCCTGGCGCCCCAGAGCGGGGCGGGCGCGATCGGCGCGGGCCCCGAGCGCGCCCGTGCGGGGCGAGCGCGAACGCGCGTGGATTTTTGACGCCCCAGGGTGGGGCGAGCGGGAGGTCGCGCGGGTTCCTGGCGCTCCGAAGCGGGATGAGCGCGAGCACGCGCGGCGCCCTGGCGCCCGAGGGCCGGAAAGATGTGGGGGCACGGGTTCCTGACTCCCCGGGCCATGTAGATCCATTTATGCTTATTTAGTGCAGCTGCTTATTTAGTAGTCGGCCTTGAGGTTCTCATCCTTAAAATTTAGCGTCGACGCTAAATTTTAGCGACGGTCAGCGTCGACGCATGCTCCAACACGGTATAACATTCGAAACAAGGAGGTGTGTCTTCCTGAAGAGGGCGCGTGCGCCCCGGTGGTGCAGGAGGCGCCGCTCCTTCGCAGCGCTGTGGCGCGTGTGTTTTTTTTTGTCCGCGCGCGCTGCAGTCGCGCCAGCCGCGCCATCGGCTGCGCGCGGTGGCGCGCGATCACCGCTCGGGAGAAGCCCGTCGCTGAGAGCGGGGGGCCGCGCCTCTTCGCCACGTGGCCCACGCTGCCCCCGAAGTCCTCGCCCCGGTAGGTCCAGCGCAGCGACGGCTGCCCTCCCGCGAAGGCCATCTCGAGGAGCAGGTGCGCCTTCGGCTCGACGCTCCAATTCCTCGTCTGCAGCGCAGCTAGAGAGGCAAACAAACAAGGTCACGAACCTGCTGGCGGAGTCGCGCATCAGATCCTTTCTGAAGATGCACTGGCCGCTCAACGTGTGGTAGCAGGAGTGCAAGTGGCGCATGACGTTCAGCGCGGCGTCGCCCACGGCACTCCCAGAAACGCAATGCGTCTCGGCCGCTTCCTTGCAGAGTGGGATCAGATGCCTCAGGGTGGCCGCCTGGCCGCTGAACTTCGGGTGCGCTTTCTTGGGCTTCGCCGCGCGCTCGTTGAAGTCGTGGAGGCGGTCGGGCGTCGAGTGCGCGTCGTAGTGCGCCTGGATGAGCCTCCACATCTCGTCGCTCTGTAGCGCGCGGCGGCGCCCCGGGGGCTTCCTCATGATGTGCCAGAGCAAGGCCCCCGCGAAGTCCGCCCCGACCCCTTGGTCCACGGCGCGCAACCAGTCGACCTTGAACGCGTCGATCGTGATGCCAGGGGTACTCAGCGCAGTCGAGACGCGGCCTCCGTTGCGCAGGATGATGGCGATCACGTCCTGCAGCGAGCGCTTGCTCGTTGGCCTCGCCCACCGAGAACTCGTCGACGTCTGCGTCGTCACCTGGGGGGCGCGCAAAGGAGAGCGGGGAGGAAGCAGGGGGCGCAGAAACAGAGGAATGTGTAACCAAGAAATCCTCCTCCTGCTGCCCCTCCTCCTCCCCCTCCTCCCCCTCCTCCTCTTCTTCTTCCTCCTCCTCCTCCCCCCTCCGTGTTTGCGCGGGGCCAGTCGCCCCCCCCCGGGAGAATGGTGCATTTCCAGCAGCACCCAGAGCCCTCGTTCCAGGCGGGGAAACAACAAACTTCTTTCCACGCTTCCCAATCCGCGCGAAACTGCACCAGGGCACCGCGGGCTGGCAAGGGGGGGCCCTCGAGGGCCCTGCGGTCGGCCCACGCTTGTTGAGCTTTATCCGAGGGGTGCGAGAACGGCGTCTTGTCGCGCCCCTCTTGCGGGTAGAAGCCTCTCCATAAAGACAGAAAGCTCCATTGTATGATGCCGACGATGTCGTGCCAGGTGTTCGTTGACAAGTGGCTCTTCAAAATGCCGAACAATGGGATTCTCAAGTTGCCGTAGGGCCCCTCGGGGTCAAGGCCGAGCAGCTTCATGCTGAGGACTTCGACCGGCGCAAATCTGTCCCACTTGGTGGGGGCCCCATCCTGCCGCGGGCCGATGGCCACCGCGGGGCTGCCCAGCTTCGCTTCCGCGCCCTGCGTGCGCGCGCGGTCGCCCTCTTCCAGCCCCTGCTTCTGAAGCAGCACGTCCAGGTCGCCGTGCCCCTCCCCAGCGCCAGGAGGACCTCGTGCGGTAGCAAGAGGGGCACTTCCTTCGTTTCTTCTCGATGACGCTTGGCGTTCCACACGCGGATCTTTGCCGCGTACTCCTTCGGCCGCAGCGCCCCCTTGAGAAACTTCCTCCTTGAGGTCCTGGACGTGTTGGCACGTCCCGCTCTCAGGCCCCCGACGCCCGCGGCCCCGCCTTCCCCGGCGTCGGCGGCGAGCCTTTGCATGTCGCCCGAGGCCAGAGTCTTCCTCATCATGTGCGTCTGCAAGGTGGCGCGCAAGCGCTTTGCAGGCGGCAGCGCGCTGGTGCCCACCGCCGGCTGGCGCTTCGAGAACGCGGCGGCGCGCCCGCCCCGCGGCCCGCCAGGCGCCTCGCGTCTGAAACAGCTTCGGGCGAAGGCGGCATTCGATGCAGGAGGGGGTGGGGTGGGGGGGGTGGGGGATCAAATTTCAAACTTCGAAGTTCGAAGTTCGAAGTTCGAATTCCGAACTTCGAACTTCGAGCGTGCGCTTCGCAGGAGGCAGCGCCTCCTTGCCCCTTCCACACGCCAGCGCGAGAACTCGCCTCCACGCGTTCCCATGAGCTGCCACATCTCCCGCCAGACGCAGCGATGTCGCGCGAAGCGGCGCGTGCACGAGGCGCCCTGCCTCCTTGCTTCGCCGCGCTTCTTCTTTGTCGGCCCGCCGCAGTCGCAGGCAGGTTGTCCTTGCGTGCTGGCGGGGGCGCCCCCCATGGCTGTTCGCTCGTTTCTTCCCCTCCCTCCCCCCACTCCCGGAGCCCCTCGGCCCCCCCCCCGTTTTCCCCCCCTCGCCCCCTTCCCCCACCCCCCCCCCCGCCCCCCCCCGCGGGCCGATCGCTTCGCGCCCTCCCAACGCTTCGCGCTGATCTTGCCGCCCTCCAAGTGCTTCTTCTGCGAGCGCGACCTGGTTCGCCAAGGCATGCCTCGTCTTCCTGATCGTCTCGTCGTCGGGTTCGCCCTCGGGGACGCGTGCCGCCTCGGCCAGCAGGTGCTCTGTAGCGTCCAGGAAGTCGCTCAGCGCTTTGCGCGCGGGCCTGATCTCGTCGCCGTTGGTGCGCCACTTGGCATTGTCGTCTCTCTTCGCCTTGGCATCGAAACTCAGCATCAACTCCTTCATGTCCTTCTGCTGCCTGTGCAGGGCGGCCGCCATCTGCCTGCGTCGGCGCGGGGGGATAAGAGGGGCAGAGGGGAAATGTGAGAGGGGAGGTGGGGGGGGGGGAGGCTGGGGCAAAGTCTGGAAGTTGCAGGAACAATTTGAGTTCCCACCCTGAGCTCTTCTTTCTGTTCGGCCATGTCGTGGTACTCTTGGTCTTCGATCTTCACGTCGCCGCCCCCCTGCCCCGCAGACGCGGACCCCCGAGCCATGTCTTCCAGCGCGCCTTTTTTGTGTTCCAATAGTCTTTGTGTATGATGCCCACTGCTCTCCCGTCCTCTCCTCGGCTGCGCTCTGCAGACCATCGCCGAAGACGTAAACATATAATGAATCGATGATTTCTTCCGTGTCCATCTGGGGCGGGTGGGATTCTGCCGTCTTGTGCTTCTCAGCGTTCTTGCGCCACTTCTTGTGAGCCCAATCGCATCCCGCCGACGCGGTGGGGAAGTTCCCCAGGTTGACCCCGAACTCCTGCGTCAGCTGCGTGACTGTGACCCATTTCTGTCAGTTTTTTTTTTGTTTTTTTTTTTTTTTTTTTTTTTTGTTTTTGTTTTTTTTGTTTTTCTCTCTCTCTCTCTCTCTCTCTCTCTCTCTCTCTCTCTCTCTCTCTCTCTCTCTCTCTCTCTCTCTCTCTCTCTCTCTCTCTCTCTCCTTTTTCCTTTTTCAAGGACTCATGCACGGCTGTGAAGGAATGCGTCAGGCCCTTCTCGGTCATAAACGCGTCGTAGAACTCCTTCCGCTTCTGGTCGCCGAGTCGCTTGAAAATTGCGAGGGCAATGCCGCGCGCCTTACCGTATTCGTTTGTGGCATTGCCATCCTTCGCGTTGTGCCGGAGGTGGTTCATGAGGTGCGTGGTTTGCGCGTTCGTCAGGGAATCTGGCGGCGGGGGGGGCGAGCTCTTCTTGGCCTTCGGGGGCGGCCCCTCCGCGCTCCCAGTTGCGCCGCCGTCTCCGGGGGCTGGCTCTTCGCTGGAGGCGGGCCCTTCGGTTTTCCCTTTGCTTGCCCCTTTGCCTTTGGCGCCGCGCGCGCCAAGTAGGCACTCGAGGCAAGGGGCTTCGCGAGCGAAAGCAACGGCGGCATCTCGCGAATCTTCTGTGGAAGCGAAAGAAACGCAGGGGCTTGCGGATATTGGAAAGCCGAGCTTCGGGAGCGGCTGCGGCGGGCGCGGACGTTGCGGCGGCGCCAGCATAAACGAGGAGGCGCGGCCTCCTGCGAAGAAGAGGCGCGGCCTCCAGCGCCTGCCCTCCGCGGCCGTTCGATGCAGGAGGCGTCGCCTCCTTCTCCCCCCCCATCCTCCAACCTCCCCCCTCTCTCCCCATCCCCCCCTCTCCCTTTTCCCGCCGCGCCCCTGCTCCCCGTCCGAACGCCGAGGGCCCCCTCGGCTGAGTTTGCGATCTTTGTTGCAGTCCGCGGCGCCTTTTCGAGCCGCGGGGTTGAAGGCGAGCGCGCGCTGGGCGGGGTTCTCGCGCGGTCAGGCGTCGCAAGACGCAGCGGCTGTGCCGTTCCAGGAGCGCGGCAAGAAGCAGGGGATCCCGCGGCCACAGGTAAACTGGGCGTGCCAGGGCACTAGCGCGGGGGAGAGGAGGAGAACGAGGAAGGGGGGGGGAAGGGGCACCGTTTGAATTGCGCGCGCCCTCGCAGAGGAACCGGAGCAGGAGGGGTGGATCACCGCGCCCGATGGCCCGACGCAGGCGCTGGAGCTTGCGTGGAAGGAGGGGGCGCGGTTGGCGCACTGCGCGGCCCGATTTCCCTTTCCTCGATTTTGCTTTCCCAGGTCGGCCGCCGCGCGTGCGAAGCGGACTCGTGGGCGCTCCAGCAGTGGAATTCGAACCCGAGCCTGCAGATGTGGTACTTTCCCATCAGGCGCTCGCTCCCCCACCCCCCCTCTTCCCCGCCCACTCCTCCTCCTTCCTCCGCGCTCCTCCGTCCTTCTTCTTTTCGCCCCTGCCCGGGCGCCGGGTGGTCATGGCGCCGAACTTCTGAGGGCTGCGGCGAGCGTCGGACAGCGACGCATTTGAATAATTTTCTTCGCTTGTACTCTCAGCGCGAAGCTCCTCTTGCGTTTCGTTGAACGCTGAACCGTATCTTATCTTCTCTTCTCCTGGAGGCTGAGCCCCAGGCGCAGGAGGCATTGCCCCCGGTAAAAAAAAATACAGGAGGTTTCGCCCCCTCTGCGCCTCGCAGCCCCCCCCCTCCGCCCTTGCAGGCCGAGCGCATTTTATCGGCGCGCTGATGTTGGAGTCAGCTCAAAAGTACAGGGGATCCAAACATACAAAATTATAAAAACATGGACAACTGCAAACCTCAATACAACACTTGTATGGTAATGGTAGAAAAATCGCTTGATTCACCATAACAATACCAAACATATAAATAATATACAACAACTACAAAGATACAGAAAAAACAAAGAATACAACACATACAACACAGTAATATATACACATGCGAACCTATACAGTCGACAGTTTATTTAAACAAACCTCTGCATAATCTGCATTAAACTCACGCAGCTTTCAACAACAGCGCATTATATACTAACAACGCGCATTCTGCTTGCATGCCCATCAATTTTCTCAAAGCCGCACCAAATGCGCGGCTCAGGAGGTTGCCGCCGTGGGCCCCGCCCACGGCGGCGCGCGCCTCCTCGGCAGAGGGGTGGGGTGTGTGTGGGGTGGGGTGGGGGGTGGGTGGGGGGGGGGGGGGGGGGGGGCGCAGAAACAGAGGAGGAGCGATGGGGAAATAATAGTGGTAAGCCAAGTGGAATGGGGAGAGAGGGGAAGGTGGATGGAAAGAGTCTGCCTTTCTCTTCGAGGAGGCGGCGCCTCCTTACCACCCTCCTCCTCTCCCTTTCCACATCCCCAAGTCCTCCAGGCGCCGAGCCGCCGCCTGCGGAGCGTTCGGGAGTTCGACTTTCCAAGGCAATCCCACGGCGAGGCGATTCTAACAGAGCCTTTTGTCGCCTCGACGCGGGGCCGCCCTGGAAGGGAAACCTTTAGAAGGCCCAATCGCCTCAGATGTGCTCGCTCGGCGGCAGCCCGGGCCTTG